AGCATGGCGGACAAAGACTTTTTATTATTCCATTCTCAATATTACAAAAGAAAATCTGAATTTTATAATTAGAACCTATTTAGATAATGACTATCCCATAAAGTTAATTTTTTTATATTATCAATTCACGATTAAGATCCTCATGAAAACGCAGAACTCTTAAGTGGATTCTAAAGACGATTAATTAATTACCAAATATAAGTGAGACTTACATACGATTTATGATACGTGTCGTTAACACATCATTACATACTACTACATCAGGCCATTCCAATTTGAGCCAAAACGCAAAGCCATCGATGCAAAAAATTCAATGTGAGTAAGATTTCAGGGACTGTAAAATGTTAATAAGCATCACTTAGATTCTTATATCAATACTTTACTATATTCAATACTATCATCAATACTATATTCAATACTTTACTCCCCGAAATCTTACTAACATTAAATTTTTTTATGTCAATGTTTCTGTCTTCGCGTTTTGGAGCTCAAATTGAACAGGCCTGCACTACATCAATATCTTATTCATGCATGTCACGTATACACATAAATTTTCATATGACAATAACGTTTTAATTTGACATTGTTTCCTCATGTAAACTATTAATATCTAAACTATCATTTTGTAAGTACAAATTGCATTTTCATCACGATGTGATATTTGCTTCGTATAAAAATGCAATTTGTCAACTCTAGAGCGCTGTATTAGACTAAAAAATGGTACAGAAGATTTCAATTTTGAAACTTTTTGACATTCTCGGCCAAACTCCACCTCACACTTATTAATGTGTATACTTTAATCCTGGAAAAGAATTTTCGAATCTATAAAACAAAAGGAAATAATTGATATACAAAAATTATGATTTAGTCGATAATACAGACACTTTTAGGATCCCTTTAAATAAGCAGATACTTCTACAAGCATCTAACAATGAAAAAATTCAAAAAGGAAAAAGTTCATGATTTACTATTTCATATTTTTCTGACATCTAAATGAAAAATCTAATAAAAAATTTAAGAACATCTACTAAAGACCTCAACGTTAAACTATCTTTCTTTAGCTTGAACAAACTTGATGGAATTATAAAAGCACAAAAAGACGTTTCTCTCATCAAAGAAAAATGTTGTCCATAAAATTTTTTGCAAGGATTGTAACGCGTCTTAGGACAGACTGGGACAAAATTAAAAATTAGAGAAACTAAATACCGCAATGATATCAAGAAAAAATCAAATAATCTGTTGTTTTAAAACATAAAATACAATTTAACCCTGAATTTTATTTGGACAACATCAAAATTCTTGACAATGAAAGATATGTATTTGGGTCCAAGATTAATTACAGAGATGCTTAATATAAAAAAATAATAGAAGTTTAAATTAAAATCTGATAGAATTTCTACACTTCCATATTTATGTGAACATTCTTAATAAATTTCAGTAATTCACGATCATATCATTACATGAGTTTAACAATCTATATATTTAATTTTGATGACATATATCTATATTTTAGATATTTATTTATTATTTGACTCGTTTTTTATTTACAACATGTACGCCTCAACTGTCATTGTCACACTGGACTTTGTTACATACAGTTGTTTTTTATATTTTCACCAATATTCTTATTTTTGTTACGATTATTGATTGTTTTACATATTTAATTTATGCGGTCGTAATGTGTGTAAGTTATACAGATTTTATATATTTATATAAGTAAGTTATACAGATTTTATTTGCACATGTGTAATTGCTTACCATTTTGTCATTCATTCTTTTTTTCACCGTTCTAACAGCTGAATAATAGTTACAAATAATTTTTGAATTTTATAATTTGAGAGATTAGCTGCACTCTTTAACTTATCACTTTGTGACTATTCATTGACTATCAAAAAGAGTGTTCTAATAGCTGAAGATGTTAGCCAGAACGTTCAATTATTTTATAATTTTCCATGTAAGATTTTGAAATGCATATGTTTTACACAAGAATTACCTCGCATGAAAGCTCTCAATTGCCCGGTATCTAATAATTTTTATCACAACAATAATTCTATGTTCATTTTGCGGATACCACGGGAAGCGTATACAGACATTCATAATCATAAGAGACAATAGAAAATTAATGAAATGTTCAAAAAAGGTAAATTTTTCGTTCACATTTTTTTGACTAGTGTTCCTATAATAAGAGTTAAGATAAAAAACTGCCGTCGTTAATAATAATAATAATAAAATTTACGTTAACACTGATTTTGTTTGTCATCTGCAAGTTGATTATTACTAGAGAAATTGTAGATGATATACAGAAAATATGATACATCAAACACATGTAGAATGAGAGAACACAATCAATACTAGAAATTAAAATATCTATAACGGTCCAAATTGGATCTTCATTGCTTTAAATAATTAAATAGTGAATTACTATATATACGTATGTACTTGCAATGTATATTATATTGTAGTCTTTTGAACTACGCATCGAATTGTTTTTTGGACTATAAACGCAATTAAACTACTCTCGGGAATTAAATTGACAAGCAATTTTAATAAATTGATGTTACAAGACATCATATTATAAAGATGTTAATATGTTGAAAAACTGTTAATAAAAATTTATTTCGAAAATATTACCTCGATCGAGAGTCGAACCCCTCTCTCTATTCCGTACAAATGTCCTAAGCCTTTAGACCACCGAGGCTTTCATAATAATCTTCGCAATAATCGGTATAAGGAAACAACGACTTTCTTTCAGCAAATATAATATAAACAATATTAAAAATCTTTATTTTAGACCGCATATGTGAGAACACAATCAATATTCCTGACCGAGGTTATATTTTTTGTAATTTTTTTTATTAACAGTTTTTCAATATATTAACATCTTTATAATATTATACCCGTGCCTTGCTGACACTCGTATTGTAAAGAAGTGAGTTTGTCGAAGTGATTCGCTTTTTGATTGTCTAACAACAAAATCTTTTTTCGGATATGAGCCGTCGCCATGTCCGGACGTGTCTTTATCTGTTCTAGTATTTATTGCACTGTGCTTTGTGTTCTATGTTTTTCCACTAATAAACGTTTCTTGTTCCTTTTTTTAATACACACGTATATTCCATTTCAACGATTCAGGAGTGCGTGTACGTGTTCGCGAGAGCGATCTTTCGAGTTTATAGCATCAAATTATTAAATAAATTGCTTGTCAATTTAATTCGTGATTACTGTTAAAGTAGTTCAATTATGTTTATAGTCCGGACAACAATTTGGTACGCAATTCAAAAGACTATAATATAAATATGTACATATGTAAGTACATATATGATATATATAATAATTCATGATTGAATTGTTTAAGTAATGAAGATCCAGCTTCGACCGTTACAGACATTTTAATTTCTCTTTAGTATCTCTTTTAGTATTAATTGTGTTCTCATATGCGATCTAAAATAAAAATTCTTAATATTATTTATTACGTTGTCCGAAAGAAAGATGTTTTCTTGTACATGTTTAATTACATTTATAATTCGGAAAAACAATTCGGCGCGCAATTCGAAAGACTACAATATGTACTATACATACTATATATGCAAGTATACATGTATGATATATATAGTAATTCAAAATTGAATTATTTAAGCAATAAAGATCCAGTTTCAACCGTTATAAACATTTTAATTTCTATTAATTGTGCTCTTATATATGCTAAAATAAAGATTCTTAACATGTAGCTGAGTTTGATTAAATGAACATAGTATGGTTAGAAGAAACGTTCTTAATCAAATCTCTGCAAATATTATATTATTTACTGCCATAATAAAGAAAGATAATAAAGATAAGGGATAATATCAAATATATGATTTGCTTATAAATCGCGGTTGTTTTGGCTATTGCAATTCAGTTAAAACTCGCGATTGGCTATTATGACAGATTTCGACAATCAATCAAAAGTTACGACTAAGACAATTTTGTCCTAACTCTTATTATAGGAACATTATCTTTGACAATATAATACATTATCAATCTATCTTTGATTTTCCATTCTTTAATAAGCTTTATATTTTTATCAAAGTACAGATATAGTAATATATTGAATATATATTCAAGTACAGTATCTACTTCAACAAGAATAGAATCTGTATTAAAGGCAGATAGTTTTTATTGATAAAAAGCAAATATATTTCCTAGGTATTCATACTAGTTTATCTATTCCTTATATCTATCGTATGTAGATAAATCAAACACAAGCAATCTCATGTGGACAATTTTTATAAACAATTTTTTTTTAATCTTTAACTAAAAAAAGGATTAAGCTGAGAGCACAGATTTTTACACAAAACATAAGAAAATCAATCAATCAGGATCCTTTATTTTCTTCTTTTCCATGAAATAAAAAACTTTAATTGATTTTCTTATGTCTTATATGCAAGAATCTGTGCTAGCCGCTTTAATTGAAGTTTTAGAATAAGTCAGTAGTCAAAAGTCTTAATTGATGAAGTTGACCAATAGCTAACTTGTACGACTAAAATTGAGTCTTCCAATTTCCGATTATCGATTCATTGATTAGAACCTCTATAAGGTATACAGACTTTGGACGGGAACATAGTCTTGCATAATACATAACGCATAAGAAAATAAACCAATCAAATTCATTTCCTTTCTCTTCATGAAATAAAAGACTTTAATTTATTGATTTTCTCATGCTTTATGCTTTATGCATTAAGCTTTTGCGAAGGTTTTTTTGCTTGAGTCCTCTTATGTAACACCATGAGACACAAGAGAGTCAATCAGAGTCTTTTATTTCATATTCTCATAACTTAATTTTTTATGCCTTACATTTTGTGCGTTATAAAGTGTTATGCAAAAGTCTTTATTGCAACTTTATAACATTGCCTTCGCGACTTGTGTGAGGCACATTTTTGCAGGCGAGAGGTTGATATAAAAGATAATTCGAGATGAGTGTTACGCTGCTCAAGATTTCAAATTTTCTTTGGCGTGGTCTGAAAGTCACTTATGTGTCCGTAAAACATCTTGTATTCATTTCCGGAATTTCAATATCTGAATGATTAATTTTTATGAAGGATACGCGGGTCTACACCGTGGTAACCGACAGTAGACCCATTAATTTCCTGCTCGTGCCAGATCCTCTTGTGCCCATTCTATTTCCGTGAACCAACATTTCTTGGACGGTGGTAAAATCATTCAGAGTTTTTTTACGCACCATCTTCTTATAACTTAGCTCAACGATATTCAATGGCTTCTTGGACATTTTATCCTCTGTATGTTCGCATATCAGCAGATCGTTAGTCTGTTGCTGCTGTTCTTGCTGCAGTAACAGTTCCTGTTGACGTTGCTTGCGCTCGCGTGCACGTTCCAGTTGCCATTTACGCTCCTCTTTGCTCCAATAGCGTCCGACCTGATAAATAATAATGTAAAAAATAAATAAATAAATATGAATAACAAAATTAATAAATTAAATATTAAGTCTCATAGGACCGTACATGTAAGAACACGATATAAATATCTTTAACGGTCTGGATATTAAGTGTTCTTGTATAATTCTATTGAATTTTACGTATTACTCGTTCGGGAGACTGCGTGAAAAAGTCGTAACAATTTTCTAAAATCTAGATTTTTTTATATTTGACTGTATTCAGGATAAAAAGCAAAATGCTAGAATCAGGCGTTAAAACCCTGGTGTCTGCATTCCTTCAAAGATGTCAAAAAAAGTAGTGTCACAAAAGTATTTTCTACAATAAAAGCTGAAAATTTATGTACCGATAGATTATATAAGATTATATAAGATTATATAAGATGTAAAAATATAACCATCAGGCAGCTCAGCGCCAGAACATGTAGCATTAGCACTATCTTAAAGTTGCAAAAAAAATGTAACGTAACTATTTTGTAAAATCTGAAATTTGGTAGAGTACTAAATTATTTAATGCTATTTATATACGAAAAAAATAGTCAGATGGCTTTTTGACAGGACTAATATTTCATTCGATGCGATTCAAAGAAATGATGTTAATTTGCGCTCTCTTCATCCTGAGTTTCTGTTAACTTTCACATGTAATTAAATAATATTA